CTCAAAGACAGTTTATTGGCAGAGAGGTTGAAAGAAACCAGAAAATATTCACATCTGAGAAGCTGAAATCAGAGTTTGGACCCATTAACGAGTTGTTTTCTATCATTTACAACCTTTTTACGGTTTAGAAACACCACAGAGAAACATGAAGGTTGGAGTGAAACCTTGAGACCAAACCGATAATGGGTTTTATTTTGTGCCTGTGTGTGAGGTCTTTCTGTGAAATGATAGAAATGAAATGATTTAACCATGTTTGCAGCTGAGCAACAACTTGCTAGAATGTATTAAAGGGGGTAGTGAAGGAAACCAGGAGACATAACGAGGAGTTAGGGAAGGAGAATTTATGTTTCCTCTTTTTTACGTTTGTGTTGAATTGTTGCAGCTATAAACCGTCTACAGTGTGTGCGTGTTTGTGTGTGTGAGACGCAGTGATTTTCGGATGTGAACGCACCCCGCTGGGTTTTTTTGACACTTGCCTGAATTAACGGAGCTCCGATTGCCACCGCTGGAGGCCAAAGAGCAGGTCAGTAGTAGAAGAACGGCGCCGTGACTCAACATAAAGAGAAAATATCATAACAGCTGTCTGACCAAATCTCCTGATATGTGATTGATCGATTTCAACGGGACGTTCGAGAGCTAATGTACGTAGTGTAACTGACACACAATGTTACAAAATATGGTAATTTACTGGCTAATCGTAATTTTCTCAAATTTTACCCAGATGTGTTTGCAGAAATCGGTGCCCTTTGGGGGACAACGTCAGTAACAATCACTTTATTAGGTACACCTGACAATAAATAACGTGTCTTTGCTGACTGAACTCATCCTGTGTTTGAAACCGACAACTTTCCCTGCTGTTGGATGTGAGCGGCTGCTTCCAGCTGTTCTGTCAGAGGAGGATTTTAATTGGCCGGCGGGCTGGTGGGAGGCAGATTAACTGTTCTTTCCCTTTAAAATGAAGTGACCTTCAGGTTTATGCCGTCTTTAGAGTCTGTTCTGGGGTGAGAACGTTCAGCAGGTAAATCCAGTTTAAGCTCCAGTTGAGAAACTGTTAATCTGCTCTTGTTTTACCCCCAAATCCTCCCAGTTCGCTCCCAGTCGGAGGCCGCTGATAAACACACAGCTCTGATTAACAGCGCGGAAAACTGATGGTGGAGGAGGCTAGGAAAGGAGTGAGAGGGGGAAGTATGAAGGACAGTAAGATAAGGAGATAAAAAACGAGAAGAGTAAAGAAAGGAGGCTGTAGAGAATCCATGGAGAGAGTAGGAAAGGAAAGAAGGAAGTGAAGGAAGCTGAAGGAAGGTAAAAGAGGAGGTGTGAACAGAAGAGGGAAATTAAGGGAATAATGACATAGGAAAGGAAACAAGGAGAAAGGGAAGAAATTGAGGAGATACAGAAAGAGCGGAGTAAGCAGGTAATGAGTAGTAAACATAGTGAGGAGGTAGGGAAGGAAACAAAGACACAGGAGAGGATGTGTATGTGTGTGTGTGTGTGTGTGTAAATCCTCCTGTAACCATGGCTGCTAGGCTGTATCACCATGGCAACCAGGTTTATCTACAACACCTGAGTGGTACCTGCTGTTGCTCCCAGGTGTGTGTGTGTGTGTGTGTGTGTGTGTGTGTGTGTGTGTATTCAGGCATTAATGAAATAAGGAAACAGCAAAGGGAAGAAAATAAGGATGTAAGTAAGGAAAGGAAGTGAAAGATCAAAGGAGGGAATAAAAATAAATAAATACAAGGAGCAATTGGAGCAGACAGCGACCTCCTCTCCCCGCCGGCCTCAGAGAAGAATAAGGAGAGGAGAGAGAGAGGCATACTAGAAATTCTGAGATTTCTGTTCATTATTTGTTTATATGTCTGTGAAAGCTAATGGAGATCAAAATTAAGAATAATTAATAAAGCTGCTAATTTCACTTTAAAATCTGACCAATGGCAGCACAGCAAGTGTTCATCCATTCAGGTGCTGACATCCGATTGGAGGAATCACCTCGCAGAACCTTAATGATCATTTTCATTATCGATCAGTCGGATTATTTTATTGATCATTTAAGTTTCCCAAGTGTCTTTTTTTGTTTGAACAACCATAAACAAAAAAGTAACTAAACCCCAAACCACCTTTTTCTGCTGAAACTCTCTGTATGACCGCTGTATCTGGGTGTTTACTAGCGTTGGTTGATTCAGATACAAATCTGGACATTTTAGTGCATTAGTAGTATTTAAATTTGACATATTCTGACATAAAAATGCACAGCGACCTCTACTGGTTGAAACCAGCTACTGCTATTTAATTTTGCTATTGGATGATCTAGAGGCAGGTGACATCACCAACCAACCCCTGCTGCTATAAAACCAACCACTTTAGCCTGACACCGGAGAGTTAGCAGGTACAACACAGGTAGCTCACAGAAACTTTTACAAACAACATGAATGTGCTTCTAGTGACTGTAAAAGTCTCAGCGGACTCTCTGTGTTTCCAGCGTGTAGTCTGGCAGCTGCTACTCATGGCTGGTTAGCTTTTTCCACCTGAATTTCAGGGTTTAGTTACACTTGCTGCTGTTGTTGTTGTTGTTGTTGTTGTTGTTGTTGTTTTAGATTTCATCAGTAATATTTCAAGCGTCCCGAGGTTGCAGCGATCTCTGTGTGTTCCTCGTTACCAGCATGTATGATTTCTGTCAGATGACCGAGAACATTTCTAGGATTGTCTGTAGGACCACAAACCATCTGCGGCTGCAGGAAAAACTAAGCTAAGTTTGCATATTTTTCATTGGCACCCTCCACAGTTGCTCGAGGGCACGGGGGCGGGACAGAGTGTCAGTTATTGGGGTTAAACCTACAGTATGATGTTGCATATTTTATTGCATATACTGTTAATATCAAAGCAAGCAGTGTTGGATGAAGAGCACTGCAGAGTCACTGATGTAAATGAGATAATATTGTACTCGTTGTGTAGGTAGAGTAAATGTCAGCAGGCTCCTTTTACCGTCTCACCAGGTGTTTTCTCTGACAAAATGTTAATGTGAGGACGGATCCTGCAAATGTCTCCTGACTGCATATTTCAGTCTAAAATGTGATGTAAGATGTTATAAACTGACAGAAGGGAGTTTTCAGTCTTTAGAAAACTGCACCTTATCTGTTGAATGTTGAGACTGAAATAAATACCCTTCCAGTCATCACCACAGTTAGTTTAAGGCCTCAGTATGGTTCAAACCAACAGTCCAATGTGCATCCCTCATCTCTCTCCAACAACTCTAAGGACAGTGGTTCTCAACTTTTTTCCAGTCCATTGGGTTGCAATGTATCAATATCTGTACTTTTTATTAAGAAAACTAGTTCTCTTACTCTTGTGATCAAAAATGTTGCTCTGAAGCTCAATTCTGAGTCTGTTCTCTTTGTAGTTTTCTAATAAATATAGCAGATGCTTAAAGGTCCAGTGTGTAACATTGAGGAACATTTATTTCAGAAATAAAATATAATACTCATTGGTATGCCTTCTTTAGTGTATAATCACCTGAAAAAAAGAACTGTTGTGTTTTCTTACCCTAGAATGAGCCGTTTTTATCAACACATGCCGCATGTTGAGCCGCCATGTTTCTACAGTAGTCCTATTTAGGGACCATAGTTTCTCCTTAATGCTTGAGACAGGAGATTGAAGTGAGGGGGTTGTAAACTGCAGCTGCACCACTAGATGCCACTAAATCCTACACACTGGTCCCTCAAGCATCTTAAAACTGTACTTGCAGACAAGCGCTACGTTTGAAGCATACTGAGACCTTTAACCTCCTGCAGTCTTTAGCCAACCTTGAGGGATTCTGTGAGATTCTGTTAAAAACCTTGCTCCTCCAACATGTTGACTCTTCAGATAACAAGAAAAAACACCTTGCTTTTACAACTCAAGTTCTCTCTCAACAAGAACAAGGACGGTCAAGTTTTCTCATCTCACGCAGGAGCAAAGGAATCGCCAAGGTTGGAAGAAGGAGGTTTTCAATTAGTGTTTGACCCTCGGATTGTCACATGAAGTTGACCTGTTTGAAGAAACTCATTTGTCTTTCTAGGTGGACTCAAAAAGGAATCATCGTTCTCTGGACTACAAGGATATGACTACAAGTAAAGACGAGAAAGAACAACCAGGTGTGGACAGTTAGAGGAAGAAAACTACAACAGAGGTTTCTGACCTTGGAGACGTGTTGTTTTGCAGAGCAGCAGGTTCTTAAATGAACAGACGAACAGATGGACAGATGGATGGGTCAGGGGTCATTGGGATACAGGTCACTGTGTTTGGGCGCCTCCCCAGCAAGGAAGACTTGGTTTCTTTGTTAGTGGAGGTTCCGGTGAAAGGGCGGGGGAGCAGCTAGGTTCGACGAGTTTCTTCCAGTCCAAAGTCGGACAGGAAGTCAGTCAGTCAGGCACACAAACAGTAAAACTGCCTCCTAACACGCGTGGAGCGAGAGCTGGAATATTTAGATGTGATCTGCTGAGGAACAGAGGAACCAACAAGCTTCCAGTATTGGCTTTTAAATTTGTTCTGTACTTCAGTTTTTATGTCTTTTATTGGTTTTCTCCAGGAAATAAATAAACACTTAATGTATCAGAATCATTTTAAAGGTTTCTGGCAGCACTTTATTTTACCGGTCCCAAACTTTCTCTAAAAAAATGTCGCCTATAGAGAAAATAGTTATTTTAGTTTAGTTTGTAGATAATTTAACTTGAAATAATTGCTCCAGTTAAAGTACTTTATGTAATAATAATTATTTATTTTATTTTTTTCAAATTTGAGTTTATAGCAGCTGACCTGCTGTGCACTCGCTAAAAGACTCTTAATTAACTGGAATTAATTATTGGGAAGTGACAGGCAGGTGTCATGGAGAAAGCAACAACAGCTGACTCTTTTTTTTTTTTTTTTT